ACATAGTAGTCCGAAACGTCGAAAACATTAAAATTTTCAACAAAAAATTTTTTCTCCACTTTCATTATATGTATTATCAATTAATGCTTGTCGAATTTTATTCAAAACAAAAAAAAAAAAAAGGTTTTTTCTCACAGAAGTAAATTTATTCTTTTTTTTTAAAAAAATTTTCTATTTGAAAGCATGCTTTTTCTTTCCTATGATCCATTTTATGTATACGACAAACATTTATTATAATAATATTTTTCTAAATAAGGTAAACAGTCGAGCAGTTGTGTAATTACTATTATTCACTCATTCTCAGCATTTCATGGGTAATCGTCGCAAATTAAATTCGTTCTTTTTTCATACCTTATTCATACAAGTAAGTATTCTTGGCTTCTATGAGTAATGCATCTCAATATTTTTTGTAAAAATATCTCAACAACAAAAAACAGTCAGAAACATGCTGTTTTTACCATTCGAAAAAGACATGTTAGGTGAGTGAATAATTGTCTAAACTATTGACACTATTTATAAGTCAACCTAGTGAGTTTCTCTTATAGAACTCGATCAGAAGTTTTGTAAACAATTCTTCTGAATGAATCGTAAGTTTCAATTAATACAATCAATAGTGAAGACACTTCTCTGCTGATCCACGAAAAGTCGAACCTACCAGATTATTTTAAGTATTGATAAGCGTATTATTAGAAGTCATGAATCATTGCTCATTCGAAACTGTAGTGAGTTCAGCAAATCTAATCGTAGTATCTGTTTTGAATTAGAAAGAACTTCAAAAACTATGATCTAGCAACTTACAGTCATATTGAAATTCAAAACATATACCACCATTGGATTTACTGAACTCAATCATGTTTAGAATGATCAATAGTTTGATTTCAAAGTTTCTAGTAAAAGGGTGTGTGGGTATGAATATAAGTTTAGTTTTAATTCTAGGATATTGGCATCTTACATCGACACCCACCCATTTATAGATATGATCAATTTTAACTATGATGGAATATAATAAGTTTTATTTCAAGATCTTATTCTTTCTGTTTCTATATACATGAATAAATATTCGATTAAGATGTATTTGATTACATGTAAGAAATATATTAAAATAATAGATCTATTTGTTTTAAGATGAAATATTTTAAATAAGACCTACATAATCATTTATGTCCGCTAATCAAACAATATTTATATTTATTTATTTATTATTTATATTAAGAGTAAGTATAATTTATGGATTCGATGCTGGTTTTATAGAATTAGTATCAACGCGTCAACAGAATAAAGATACAACACATTATGGCCTGACTGTTTGTGCACTTTGTCGTGTAACACTTGATTTTTTGAAATCAACATATAATATAGACACAACATATTTAGATACAAAATTTGACGAAACCAATGGTCAATGTCAAGAAAATACTGTTCAAAGTATAATAAATCTATTAAGAACTTCTCAATTGAAAGGTATTAATCCATGGGTTTATTCATTTACAATTAAAACAATAGCTTCAGCAAATACAAAAACAGATTTAAAAGAAATATTTAAAGAAGAAAGTCATTTCGATAGTGAATCATTTATTGGAGGATCAAAATTAATTATGAAGAGATATCAATCAACGTTAGATGCAATTTTAAAAGCCGATAATTATGATCAAGGACGTAAAACATTCGGAGAAATGTTACATACAATACAAGTTAGTATATCCTATCTTATTAATTTATTTAATTTAATTTATATATTTATATCTAAAGGATTTTTACAGTCATACGAATTTTATTGAACTTGAATATAAATCACCAAGTGATGTTCTTGGTAAAAGAATTTTTCAAATAGATGAATTTGCATCGATTAATACGAAAACATGTATTAGTTGTAATGATGAACAATGTCAAATAAATACAAATATTGATGAAAATATACATAAAACTAAATTACTTACAAGTGGTTATTTTATACCAATTGGTTTTAATTTATTTAAAAAATCTAAACCAAAAGGAAAATGTTCTCATGGAGGTTCTTTTGATAGTACACAAGATGATGAACCAACAGGTGGTATTAATAAAGATAAATTAAATTCTATTCATGGTCATTTACATTATCAAGCAGCAAGTATGGCTTATAAAGCTACTGTAAAAATTTTAACACAACTTCGACAAGATATTAGTGATGAATCTTTTGCTTTATTTTTAACATTAAAAAAAAATTTGAATAGTCTTATTATATCGATTGATACATCATGTTCAATTGGTAATTATATTGATTTAGCTAAAGATATATCAATTAATATTGTTAATCAATATGGTCAATTAGAATTTGCTCCACATAATTATATATTAATATCATTCAATAGTAATTATGCGAAGATAATTATTAATTCTCGTAAACCAAATGATTTAATTAATGCTATTCAAAAGTTGAATTCATGTGAAAATTATACTTCAACATTAGGTGTAATGTACTATAGTAGTCTGATTGAAGGATTCATACAGTCAGAATATTCATCAGTTATATATACATTTACAGATTCAGCAGCTAACGATGGTCATCTAAAATATAAAGCACGTGCTTTACTTCGAAATAAACGTCTTGTTATTTATTCATTTCTGGGTCAACAAATGAAAAAACTTCTACTGAAAAGTAAATTTGATTTTGTTGGTCAATTAGATGGAAACGATGATGGGACAGATTTGCCATCGATTAGTGGTGGTCTTACGTATCCTATTACTGTTAATGATCGACCTGTCGTTTTAGAATTTGTACTTCGTCGATTAGAATGGACAAGATTGCAAAATTTAGTTATTTTCACATGTAATTCGACATCGATTACATTTTATGTTGATTCATCGATTAACGAACTTCATATTGATATATCATCAACAGGTTAATAGAATATTTTTACCATCATTTTGAAGTGTTTCTTTTTTTCTAGCGATTCTTGAACTGGCACCTCACTTCGCCTCTTTTTCCTCTTTTCTTTCAAAATTCCTCTTTTTATCCTCTTTTTTCAAAAACATCTTCTTTTACCTCTTTTCTTACGAAAACGTAGTTTATTGGCGAAAACATCCATGAATATATTGATTAATGTTACCATATCATACGAAAAGATTACATAGCACAAACTGATGTGCCGATCAATCGAGGTGTATAGCTAGGGAGGCTAGATTATATGATTTTAGTGATCAACTTCAGCGATATTATATATCCTTAATTTGGACCCAATTTATATAACTCTCTAGTGGGGGTAAAATCACTCAATTATATTTCCAATATGAACTCATCATTCTCTCACAATCTTGGCAAGTTTTTCTGCTAAAGATCGACATGTAAAATGATAATATCGGCTCACTTTTCATGACCATTTTTCTCAGCTCTAGGAAAACGTGTGATGTGAATCTAACAGTGGATGGCTAACGTGTAGGGTAACGCATGCGTCAAAATGAGAAGAAGTTTCCAGAGTGGCTAGATCTATCCTAGAATCCTGTCAGATTCGATAGAATTTCTTCGACAAGATAGCTCCTGATAGTATGATGTCATAAGTTGAAGATTTCTGCCTATCGGATACCGATAAAAGTTTTCATGTTGTATCTGGCAATATCTGATCTTTCAAAATTACAGAGTTAATTACAGATACCGTAATATGTTGCTAGATTACCTTACGCTATTGATTTACTGTCAAAATGAAGTAATTCTTCTCTCTCTGACTTTCTCTGTATATAATCACATTTTGGACGATCATATATCTATAAAATGTACACGGAGAAATATAATCGTATACAACACAATACAGAGTAAATGGAAGGCCATGGACGAGTTTTATTTGTCCATAAACGATCGTATTTCTGCGCATACAACCACAGATTTATACGATCGCAATACTGGGTGATGTGAAACGCCGTATTTCTCCGATTACAAGCGTGTTTGCTTGACATGGATTAATATTGAGAATGGTTTGATGATAAGTGAAAAAAATCGGATATGATGAAATGCGATAGTAATAAACAGGAGTGCTCCAATGACCAAAAAGCAGAGGATCCTACAATCTACCCAATACAAATAAGTCGTTTTCTACAGAACGCAGGAAGATGACCATATTTTACTGGGAAAAATCAAGCGTTTTCGACAGCACGGAGTCAAACGATTCCTCAGAAACCGGCTGTATCATGGAAGAATTGCTGGAAATTGAAAAAAACAAAAAAATATCTTTTTCACATGCACAATCATCCGACAAAAGGAATAAAAAGCAGAAAAAAATTTAATGAATTCTAATCGTTTCTATTTCTGTGTACCTACTCAGTCAGATAGAATAATATTATAGTCAGACACTACGCAAATAGAATAGTCTATTTTTTTTAATATTTTCCCATTGTCTAATGCATATATGAGCAATTACACAAAAATCTCTATGAACAATTGGAAGTTTCGTTTCTTTTTTTACTCTTTCAAGTCATATTCAACCTATATTGATAATGTATGAGTTTTGTCGGATTTATAGTACTATTGTGCCAGTGAGTTTTAGTTTTCTTCGGACGAAACTGTATGCCTCTTTTTCTCTTGTTTTTTATTAAAAATCCTCTTTTTTCCAAGAACGCTGAGTCTCCTTTTTTCTCTTTTTTTACAAAGTGTTGGTGAGATGCCAGGATTCTTGAATAATTATTTGAAAAATAATTTTATAAAATAGACGACAATATTTGATATGAGTTAAAGTTTTGTAGTCTAATCTGAGGCCGAATATTTTATCCTTGAGCACACCTGACTTGAACTATTGGCGATTATTTGCTTGTTTCTCTAGGGAAAAATTAATTTATCAATTATTTTTTCCTTCCTTTCGTTTCATAGTTAGAAACAAAAAGATATGTCCTTCATATCTCGCAGTTGGAATAGTAGGTTTATGTGATAAAATGTTTTCTTATTTCTGGTTCTCTTCTCATGTACAATGTTTTATTAAATAGATAGCTCACTCGGTATGTATCATTGTCAAAATTCAATAAATAAAAATCTGTAACGTAGAAGAAAAGATAGTAAGATGCATAAATTCTTGTTCTCCTAAGCTTTTGAAAACTGTTCTATAGAACTTTTTAATGAAAACATCATTTTAAATGCCTTTTCTATTTATAAAATGTTCAAATTCTAGATCCAGCCCAATGTTCAAATTCTTTTGTCTCAAACTGACTCGAGTCGGACACTGATACACGATCAGTGATAGTGTGAAAAAGAAGTTCATCAATCTAATATTGATAATTTTTTGAACTACGATCTGACAGGAGTATTAAAGTGAATAGGATAGAAATTCACATCCCGTGTTATCACACACTGTATATCATTGAAACAATATCCCGAAATAGATCTAATAGAGCAAAATTCATGTGACTAGTGACAATAATTACATCGTGTCTCACATTTTAATTTCATATTGGTTGTTCTAACGGCTAGGTTTTTTGTAGGTGAAATAACTGATATCAATCAAATTGAATTGCTTAGACCAGATAATTCAATATATCCACTAACTACAAATCTTGTTAACACAAAACATTTGTATATGTGGAAAATTTTACAACCACAAGTTGGCGGATGGCGTTTAACAACATCGAAATTACCCCAAGCATTTAATTTTAATGTTCAAATTCAAGGTAAATCAAGTGTTTTATGTTCATCTAGTTTACAGAAAGACATGGAAGCAAATGTAGATAGTAATGGTTATACAGAATTAACAACAGAACCTCTTATTGATTCTGATCTACTTATTTTGACGACATGTGAAAATGTCAACTTTACCTATGCTAATATTTCTCTTGTCAATCAATATGGTCAAGTTATCGAAAGTTATTCACCATTGAAATTAGATCAACTTGATATAATAACGAAAATTCGTGTTCCTCGACAAGCATTTCGAATTCAAACACTGCTTCAATTATCTAATGGTATTCGAATTCAACGCATTGAAAAGCAACTCATTTCACCAACAATGTTTACTATTGAATTAACAAATCAACCGTACATATTATCAATTGGTGAGACAATTCAAATGAACTATACTCTAAAAAGTTCATTATCTGAACAAGTTTATATACGGTTGCAACTAAGTGATACATTAAATTTGATTGGTATTAATGGTATTGAAAAAAATTTTACATTCACTAATGAAACATCTCAAATGGAGTTATTTACGTTACCAATAGATTTTCAACAAAAATCAATAAACGATATGATCATATTTACTTTGTCAACATATAATAATAAAACAGATACATTTTCATATGAAAATGATGAAATAGCATCTGTTTATTTCGAATTAAATTCATCTTCAATTCCAAGGACAACTAATTATTTTATTTTTTTTCTTCTATCTGCTGGTTTTTTTTTTAAATAAAATTCACTCGTAACTAAATCGCATCCCAACGATTAACACATAAACGATTATTTTTGTTTTTACTTGATAGTAAGAGTGAGGATAGATGTGACTCTTACTTGTCATGCAAACCCAACGCTTACTACGATATCCACAAGCACATGTGCATTCACCTTTCACTCCTGAAAACAAACAGGATGTATTACGCCCAATGCTTCATGGCTAGGAAACTTCTTTGACGATTCTGAACGATTTTTAGAAAAAATAGCAATCAAATGTGACTCTTGATGATAGAAAAACCAATAAAAAACTACAACAATTAGATGGCAACTATTGAGGAAAATATGGCGCTGCAGGATGGCACTACAAGGGTGGGTGGGTGTATGGGTGTCGATGTGGATGCGAGAGAAAGGAATGCCAACACACACCTACACTCTCGTCAAAGCGCTCACTCATCCCTTCGTTCCTCACACCAACACCCGCTCCACTGCTTGATGAGAATCAGTAATGCTTGCCTTTTGGTTGTGGATGTGGATGTGGGTACCGGTGCCGATGTAGGAGTTGGTGTGAATGTGGTTTTTTATATTTTTCATACCCGCACCCACCCACACCCACACAATACAAAACCTTACGTTTCACTGTCCAAAGCTGACTTGATGATCACGGTATGCAGTTTGTGCGACCACATGCGAAAGAAGGCTTTCTATCATTGAAACGTATGTTTTATGAATTTCAATCAAGAAAATCACCACACAAACTACGAATTTGTGCTTGACGTGAACGAAAAGTATTGTCCATTTCAGAGTTAACCTCCTGGATACTGATAATTCTTGCACTCTTTACGATCTCATAGAGAAATTGAAAAATCACTCTCGCTTGCGTTCTATCTTCGTGAATTGGCTGTATACACAAGGAGCGTCCCAGAAGTTCTGAAATGATTTTTAAAATTTATCATTTTCGCATTTATTAAAAGCGAATCTTTTTGAAACTTTGGTAGATTGTTGAGTATGCCTAATATTACATAACCACAAAGTTTCAAGTTTATATCCAAACCTATTGGTGAGAAAATGCAAAAAACACTGCGATGTATTTTTTTCAAAATTTCCCAACAGCTAAAGTTGATATGAAAATGATAGGAAAGCTATTATTTTCAGAATGTTTTAATTAACATATGCCAGAGTAGAAAATCTTTCTTTTATCGATATATTTTTCCTTATGCACGTGTCAAGGAACGGAGTATATAGGGAATGACATTAGTCTGTTACAATTGAATCAACATAGAATATCGCATGAACAATAAGCGATAGACAAAAAAGAATTTCGGTCATTTGTGTTACATTTAAAACAAATATATCTATCATAGAAACCTAAAGATATTACAAATTTTCTTATTCAATCCGAAAATCTGTCGTCTTATACAACGAAAAGTGCTTTGAACGTCAAAGTTTGGAGAATTCTAAATAGAAATCAGGTGAATGATTTGCCAAGATCGAGTGCACCACGTACAACAATAACAACACCTGAATATATTCAAGCTGTAAAAAAACAATCTTCGAATAACCAAAAATGCATTCATCAGAAATGTTAATACAAAATTTCAACAACAAGATTTTGAAACATCGAAAAGTTCAATTTAGCGAACTAAACAATCATTAAAATAAAAATGATGGAAAATAGAAATAGTACAAAAATTAACAACCGATCAAAAACTTCAATGTGTTATCATTACAAAACAATTACGAAAAAAACATGGTTTTAAGAAAGGAAATAAGCTTTATGATTGGGCTTATGTTTTGAATACAGACTTTAGTGGTATATTTACGTTTAAGCCCTCAATGCAATCAACACAACGAAGATATTTATGCTGAATCCAAATTTGATATTCCATACGAATTGAAAACGAAGCCAAAAGAAAAGTTTCAGCAAAGTGTCATGCTATAAGGAGATATTTCTTATCAAGGGTTATTTCCTAAAAACGTCTTCAATTTTTGTTGGTGAGTGGTTAGAACTCATCAGACCAAAAGATAGTGATCGTCGCAAAAAGTTGTACTTTACTGGTGAAAGATATACACAATTTATTCTAACTATTATAGGCGAAAAAGCGAATGAAAAATTAGGTGATTTACGTTATATTATTTTCCAAGACGATCAAGATCGTAAACAACGCATGCGAGTGGCTCTGGATGCCGTTGATCATGTTTTTCACCATCGGATTGAACCAAAAGATTGTGCTGCAAAATTAGTAGTCGTCTGGTCCATCGAAAACGTTTGGTATGTACTGAAAGAGAAGCTTCGAGGGCGACAGTACAATAGTCTTGAATATTTGAAAAACGATATTAAAAGCGAATGGAATCAATTTAGTGTATCTTTATGTCGACGGGATGATAGATAAAATACTAGAAAGATTAAAATTAGTTATCGATGAAGGTGGTAATCAAATACAGAAGTATTGTTAATTTGATTCGTTTTTTATATTTGAATGTATTATTCTGATGATAATAAACTAGATGATAACGAAATTGTGAAAACTAGTACATAATACTTTTAGTAAGAAGCTTTGAAAATAGCAACTTTCCTTTTATTTTCACATCAATTTAGCTGTTGGAAAATTTTGAAAAAAACACATCGCAGTGTTTTTTGCAGTTTCTCATCAATAGGTTTAAATATAGATATCAAACTTTGTGATTATGTAGCATTAGGTATGCTCAACAATCTA